TTACTATTACTGTTACTGTTACTATTACTATTCCTATTACTATTACTGTTACTGTTACTATTCCTATTCCTATTACTATTACTATTACTGTTACTGTTACTATTCCTATTCCTATTACTATTACTATTACTGTTACTGTTACTATTACTGTTACTGTTACTATTTCTATTCCTATTACTATTACTGTTACTGTTACTGTTACTATTCCTATTACTATTACTGTTACTGTTACTATTACTATTCCTATCATTATTATTATTACTATGATTATTACTGTTAATTTTACTATTTCTATTACTGTTACTGTTATACTATTACTATTATACACTATATATACACATGATGTTCATGATTCATGATTGTTTATCGGAGGAACGCAGAACCAACAGTCATCAATCATTCCTTCGAGATTCCAACGCAGGGTCAGACCCTCATGTCATGACCTGATGAGCACGGTCAGCACTTTTGGACGAAGACAAAAGCAAACGTATGAAGAGAAGTATCGAAAAAATCGAAAACACATATTTTGTTCCCTGCAGGGGTGCCTGGATACTGATTGAAAGTCTGGGTGGCCTGCAACCAAACAATGCATCGAGCACATGTTTTAAAAAAATATATCCACTTGTTCATGTCTGAAAGAGAGAAAAGAGAGATCAATAAAGCCAATCCCAAGAGCATCCGAACTGTCAGATTGTGCCAGGAGACTCATGGACGGCTGTTTCACGAGCAGAGCCTTTGCCACGGTCTGCGGGGCATGTGGTTGAAGCACATTGCCACGACCCATTTGTATTGAACGCGGCACATAGTATATAGTTTTGTTCAAATTGGCATCGATCCGTCATGAAACGCCATTTGGCTGCCGGATATATAGATGGGATCCTTTCCAGCCGGATGCGTTTTTGGCTGAACAGCCCAACCACACATCGGTCAGAGTCATAGCCATCATGGCCGTGTCCAACTTCGAAAAGGCTAGGGCGGCTAGGGTGGTTGGTTGGTTTAAACAAACATGTGGTTCTAATGGATTACACACAAATGTCGGATGAGTCACTAAGAGTGACAAAGCTTAGCACATTGGAACATTGGGCTAAGAACTGGAACTGGCCGTTCGAACGAAGCCCTGGCCGTTTGTTTCGCCATTCAGTCTGAGGAATCTTCGCATCCTGGAGGTTCAGAAACGGAATAGTGCGGGCCTTGAGAGTCTTCTCGATGAGCCAAGGTAGGCATTGCCTTTATGCCCTTTGCTCCTAGTAGCGTCCTTGCTCCTAGTAGTATGGCCAGGAGCCCCTAGTAGCGTCCTTGCTCCTAGTAGCGATGCCCTT